GTTATCTCCATGCATGGTCCTTGGTTGGAGTATCAGTCTCACAAAAGACCCCTGGGCCCAGATTTCTTGGTTCTGTTGCTCTCCTTGTGGGTAGTATCTTTCAGTGGCCCTCTGTGGTAGGCTCCTGTCATATTCCCAGTTTTCTCCCTATTCTGCTCATCCCATTTGCCTTACTGAGTGAGGATTGATCATCTTACTTAGGGTTCTCCTTCTTGCTTAGCTTCTTTAGGTGTACAGGTTTTAGTATGTTTATCCTATATTATAGGTCTAGTATCCACTTATAAGTGACTGTATGCCATGTGTGTCTTTATGTTTCTGGGATACCTCACTCTGGATGATCTTTTCTAGTTCCCACCATTTGCCTGCAAATTTCATGATGTCCCTGTTTTTAATTGCTGAGTAGTATTCCATTGTGTAAATGTACCACAATTTCTGTATCCATTCCTCTGCTGATGGACATCTGGGTTGTTTCCAAATTCTGGTTATTACAAATAAAGCTGCCATGAACATGGTTGATAGATAGCAGATTTTAATTCATTAGTATCTAGCTCCCAGTAAATAAAATACTCTGGGAAATGCTATAAAGTCAGTTTATATAACCATATATATTTTACTGATCGATTGAACTTTTTAAAGCATAAATCCTGGCTAGAAATAATAATTGTGAATTCATACTTGTATAATTCTGTCCTTGAGTATAAAGGTATGCTTACCAGTGTAACTCCCCATTTAGAATAGCTGTGAAACCAGTTTGAACCAGCTTCTTTCCTAATTAACACAAAAAATTCAAGCTTGTAAAATGGAGGTTTTTGAAGATTGAGCTCTCCCACCCCCAGCAGTTTGATACTCTGAACAAAATATAGCTGCAGTAACTTTGTTCTGACTGAACCCCAAAGAAATAATTGTTTAGTAAAGCCAGTATACTAAGAACCTTTGGAAATAATATTTCTGCAGCTTTAAATATTATCTAGTGCATAGGAAATATAAGTTGTTTTGGGGTATAATTTGTTTGAATGTGGTATTTATTCTTCACAGAGGACAGTAAATGCTAACTTGCCATAAAAGAAAGGAAGTGAGATTAGAATTCATGATTAAAGAAAATGGGGCACAGCTCCTGGATGTTTAATTCTATTTGGAAAAAAATACTTAAACCATTTCATGATGAAGGATGGGGTAAATCGCACTAACAAAGTATCTGAAAAAACATGCTTACCTGGAAAATTGGAAACCCACACACTCCATAGTTCCTAGTCCAGGACTCTCCGTGTGTTCCCTCTTCACTTTCGTGGCTGCTCCTAATACCTACACAGTTTGTGTGATTATTTGGCTTATCTCTACCACAAGACTTGTAAATCCATGAAATCAAGACTTGCAGCTGTTTTTCTTCAGGTAATTTTTTTCTTAATGCCTAATACACAAGATTTGGTCATTAGAATATTTCTTTTTAGCCTATTATGTTCATGGAACTTAAAGTTAAGTAATACCAGTGTTAGAAAAGAGACATTGAAAGTGACATAAAGAAATATTCATTAAACTGTTCACTCAGAGCAGGCAGACTGAGGATGAGAGAAGCATTGCAGATTGTAAAGCTCTTATTTTGTGACTTAACAAAATTAAAGAACCTTTAAAAATCAGGACAAGGGGCATTGGTTTGTAATGGGACATAAGTGACCTTGGTGAAATTGCTTTACTTCTTCTGAGTCAGCATTTACAAAATGAGCATGATATCTTCCTTCTTTATGGGCTTATAAGTTGTATGTTCTTCTTAAACCTAAAATGTTAGTTTTCTTGTTCTTTTTTTCCCTTCATTTGTGAAACTGGACACTAATGTTTTATTCCATCTCTAAAAGCCTTGGTCTGTGTGGCACCATCCCCTTCTGCTGGACTGTCAAGAGTTGTGCCACTAAGAAAATTTAATCATGTCTTAGTCACTGTCAGAATTACTTGTGTTCCAATTTCCAAATGTAGGTATTTTACCTCCTGACGGAAAATAAACGAGTGCAGTTACAGACAAGAAGGCCTGCAGAGATGAAGGCGAAGGCCTCAGGAGTCAGCACTAGCTGGGGTATTTAAAGGAAGTGTTTTCAGTTGTTGCTGTACAATTTAATACAGTTTTTTAATTTAATACAATTTTGAGAGGTTATCACTTAATTTCTAAAGAATTCAGAAGATCAGTAGGAGATTATTACAAGGCTGGGTATTGTGGGATACACCTTTAATCCTAGTATTTGGGAGGCTGACACAAGTAGATCTCTCTAGGCTGGAGGCCAGCCTAGTCTACATAGCAAGTTCCAGTACAGCCAGGAGTACACAGAGAAACCCTGTCTCAAAAAAGAAATTATTGCAACTAATAAGAAAGAAGATAGAAGTCAGGCATAGTGGCGCACACCTTTAATCCCAGCACTCAGGGAGGCAGAGGCAGGTAGATGGCTCTAAGTTTGAGGCCAGGCTGCTCTGCAAAGGTGACACAGAGAAACCATGTCTTGAGCCCACCCCCAAAGAAAACAGTAGATATAAAAGCATTACAAAACAAGAATAGTTTTCTTCATCCCATTAATAGTTAGAAATTTAAATGAAAAATTATCCTATGCTCCATAGAATAAGAACGCAGAACCAAATCCAATTACTGTTTGTTTAACAAAAAAAAAAAAAAAAAGTGGCATAGTTGTGTGTTCCTGCCTTTTTAGTCTCAGATCAGATGTTTAATTACTGTTTCTACAAAACATATTTTGGGAACTTTTTCCTTGGCTTGTTAAGTGGTCATCTGAGCCTGTGAGTGTCCTAGAATGTTTCTGGGGGTCATTCTTGGGTGGCAAAAGAAAAAAAAAATAAGAAGAAAAGATTGAGCATCTGGTATATCAATAGGCAGCAGGTTGGCCCAAATGGTTTGGGCAACATCTGAGAATACCTGGAGAAGGATGTTCCCAATTGGGGACATCTTAAGAGTTTGGGGATGTTCCTTTGCTTTTGGTCACATACCTTTTGTCTTAGTTAGATCTGTGATAAAAACAGTATGACCTGAAGTAAGTTGGGGAGGAAAAGATTTTATTTCAGCTTATAAGTCTTAGGTCACACTCCATTACTGATAGAATTCTTATGGCAGGAACCTGGAGGCAGGAACTGAAGCGAAGGCCATGAAACAGTGCTACTTTCATGCACCTGCCCAGGGACAGCACCACCCACAATGGACTGGGTTCCCCACATCAATCACTACTTAAGAAAATGCACTACAGACTTAGGCCTACAGGCAGTCTGACGGGGGCATTTTCTCATTTGAGTTTAGCTTGTGTCAAGTTGACAAAAAACCAGTCAGGAAAACTGTCAAGTTTAGTATGTCTTACACTTCAGTACAGTAGTATTGATTATAATCATGTTCAGAGCACATTTCCCAGGGCTACTGATCCCCCAATGCTTGCTGCACTTGGGGCATCTTAAAATAAGGATTTAGGATTCTTGGGATATGACTCAATTTCTTTTTACCTAATTTTTTTCTCAGTGTATTTTCATTCCTTTGTTTATAAAATAAGATTTGCCTCTCCTTTTTAGCTCATTTCACAAAAATTGTGTTAACAGGTTTACTCTGGGCCCTGTTGGTTCTCCAGTGAAGAGGGCATTTTGCCAGGAGGTTTTTCAGTTCTTGTACTTCTTTTCTTTGTGGCTCTATTGCCTGGTACTAGAACTGTAAAGGCTTTGATCCCTGGTGTTTTTGTTCTGTATGTACTATTTGCTTGGTTGGTTGATCAATTCTTGTGAAAGGGCTTGAATTACACAGAATACTCTTATTTGAAAAT